GTGTTGATTCTTCAAACGTCTGGGTGATTTCATAGCTTCTCAGACTATAACCTATAAAAAGACAATTTAATCACAGCAATAGGCAAATCTCTCACAGACATACCAATGAGCAAAAGAAGCCAGACATAAAGCAAGTTTACACTAGATGTTTTCATTTAAATGAAGGTCAAAAAAGGGCATGAACGAACTTTGAGTAATGATAAAATGGTCGATATCTTGATGTGGGTGATGGTTACACGGGTGTATATATATGGTGGTCAAAGCTCATTGAACTGTATACTTAAGATCTTTATATTTTAATGAATGTAAAATGTAACTCAATTTAAACAAAGGAAAGTAACCTCACAATGAGTGTTCTAGATGCAGGGGGAGTGGAGGAGACAAATATAAACACATTTCTTTGCACAGGACCTCTCCCAGCCTTTAATATACTAATGTGCACTGTATATTTCTAAGAGGAAGCTATCAGGTGCAGTATGTTCCAGATTTAATTGCTCAAGAAACTCTTTTTTTTTTTTTCACATACATTAACATCGATACGATATTAAATGTTCCCGAAACCCAAAAACTCCAGCCAGGAAAAAATTTCAAGCAAGGGTTACAAATACCACTGCAGTCATTTAACAAACAAAAAAAAAATTAATGTCTAATTTTAAGCAATCACTTTCTGATGAACCCTCTAGAATAAACTAGTTGTAAAATATACTCCTATATAAGGTCCAATTAAGTATTGGAGGAATTCTGCCCAAACTAATAAATTTAGTTCTGGAGCTATTGACCTTAAATTTCCTCTGGCAGTAATTAGACAGCAAAGCCAGGTGTCTATTGAAGAATGCCAAGCTTATGGCAAGGACGCATTCATATCAACAGATGGACAACACTTCTATTCTCTGTAAGACATCCAGCTCATCCAGAGGTGGTATCAAGGCACTAAAACCACAAGTTCAAAAATAAAGGTCTTAGTTTGGGTTCTCCAGCACAGCACACTGACTCTGAGACAGACTTGTGTGTAGGGGATTTACTGGGGAGAGCTATCAGATCAGCTCCTACAGGGCAGCTAAAGAAGCAGGACTGGGCAGGGGAAGGTGTTTAGTTTGGCAGCAGTCACAACGAAGGCCTTGGCAGCTCCCACAGGAGTTCTGGAACCAGGGGTAGACCCTAGGGTTCGTGCATAGATATGTTTACCGAACAAATGTACGACTGATTTATAAGGGTTATCTACCCTTGAGACAAGGAGGCCAGGCCTTTGTGTCCTCACAACTGAGAAGTCACTGCACATTGGCTGCCCCAGGAAGGGGAGTAACCATGAGCAAGCTGCCTTCTTTGGCTGAAGACAATTTTCACAGGGAGCATCATCTGAGAGCTGTCAGCCCCCAAAACTTCTAGCACCGGGGAATGAGCATCTCACTCCCAAAGGGAAGCTGGGAGCTTAGCACAGGGCCCATTGCAGTGGCCCACACATACTCAATTCACCAAACTCGAAAGGGATGTGTGACCTGAAAGGGATATGTGACCTGCCTTGTCTGACGCTCATGCTACTGATAGACAAATTAAGGATCAGTAGCCCAGGGCCTCGATTATGCCCATGTTGCTTTGTCCATACTAAATATTCATAGAACTGCAATAAAACTACAAAAATAATCTCAGATAGTTATCAACAAATTTATTTCACAGTGTAATAGATCAAGAAACTCACAGTCTAGTTTTGGCGTGACTGAGGACATCGGGGTTCTCTAGAAAGAATTTTAAAAAGAAAAGCCACAAAACAAAATTTAACATTAAAAACCTTCCAAGTAACTTTCTGACACTGGCATTTGTTTAAATCACATGTCCCTTCATCCCCTTTATTAAAATTAAATTAGTATCCCATTGGACAAAGTGATGAAAAAGAGTTAGAGAGTCTAGGTTTCTCCCTGATTCTCCTCTGTTAATATATGCCAAAAATCTATTTATCTTAATTTATGCTAACAATTCAATCAAAACACATCTACTGAGGACTTTCTTTTAAGAAACACCATGCTTGGTATTAAAGGCATAGAGATGAATAAGACATTCACCATCTATTAATAATACAGAAGACAGACACGGATGCAGGAAACTATAAATCAGTCATACATACATACTATATGAACAAGACAGACACAGTTCTTGCCCATTTTAACGGGGCTGATAGACAAGGTGCTGAGTGTTAAAACAGAAGACTTTAAGCAAAGCCAAAGTCTTTGCTTCCACTGGGGAAAAAAAGGCCAGAGAAAGCTTAGTCACAGTAAACTTAACAGTAAAAATAACAGCAACTAACCTTTATTGAGTGCTGAAAATATGCCAGCCACCTATGTAAATTTATTTAGCTTTCAAATGAATCCTCTGAGGTAAATACTATTAATACTCCCAATGTGCAGATGAGGACACAAAAACACCAAGGGATTAAGTAGCTCAATCAAGATCTCAAAGATGCTAAGTGGTGGGCCTGGGATTCAGAGGGGATAACTTTGGAATTGAGCTTTGAAAACTAAGTAGGAATTCACCAGATGGACACTAAAAAAAAAAAGTGGTAAGAGCCCTCCAGACATAGGGAAGAGCAAGTACAGAGATAGAAAAATGGCCAGAACACACAAGTTCAGCCTGCAGGTGGGCTGTTTGTGGGACAGTAGCCAGAGGCCTCTGAAAAGGCGGCTGGTGGGGACAGGTAGACTGAGGAAGAGACTACAGGAAGGTAGGCAGGGCAGTGATGCTGATTTTGTTATTTAATAATATCAAAAAGAATGAAAATGGCTAACATCCACTAAGAGCATCCTATAAGCCAGATATGGGTTAAATATTTATAAACCTTGTCTCATTTTAGCTTCGCTACAATCATATAAGGAAGGTCCTACTATTATCCCATTTTACAAGTGAGAACACTGAGCTTTAAAGGGAGCAACTAGTTGGCTGGAGGTTGGACTATTGATGTGTTATGGAGCTGGATTCCAAACCAAGGAACTGAGACTTCCAGGCCTGTGATCTCAGCTGCCCTCTCTCCAGGGCCAGGGCTGGAGGAGAGAAGTGAGAGGTGTGTATACAGAGGCAGCGGTGAGAACCAAGTACCATGTGGCGATGAGAAAGAGGGAAGAGTAGTGGGTCACAGCCAGCTGTGGGAAGAGCCAGTGAGTTGCTGACCAAGAGAACAGGTGGAAACCGGCATGGAGAGCAGGGACATGGGGACTGAGGCAAGGTGCTGAGGTCCAGGTCTCCTAGGAGACAACAGAGGAGCCAGTGGGCAGCTGGAAATTTAAGTCTGGAACTAAGGAAAACAATCAGCCCTGCAGGTACAAAACAACCACAAACAACAAGTTTGCAGGCGTGAGAGGAGCTGAATCTATCCAGGGAGGATGTAAAGAAGACAGGGAGGAAATGAACAGAAACCTAGAACACCCCAAGGACTCAGGAAAGAATCCATTTTCTTATCTGTAAAAATAAAAGAGATACATCCAGCTTCTATAGAAACCTACTTGGGAAAGGGCTTCCTTTCCAAGGAAGGTAGGTGGTTGTTGCTTTCATGAAAAATAAAAAAAGTTGGTTCCGCAAAACCGACTTCTTCTCTGCCCCAGGAAGGGCATAGAACAGTGTGTGTGTGTAATAAATGAAAACAGTACAGATAGTTTATCAGAGTTATCACCACCTTTGCTGAGCCCCGCGAGCCCATGTGGCCGGTGACAGTAATTCCACTTGGAGCACAGGTGCTGCTGGCTCTGGATGGAGGCGCGCTTACAGCACTCCCACGTCACACTGTTTTCCAGCTTTATTTATGTTGTGTTCATTCTTCACCCCTTAGCCTAAAAAATGACCAGAGTACGGCTTACCTGCCGTATCAGGAATCTGCACAAAAGGCCATTTCTACAGTTTCTCTCTCCTGAAAGCAGAGGAAAACTTCTCAGCATTCACATGTAGCAAAAAGAGGGGGAAACAGCCCATTTGGTCCGCCCCCCGGCCGTTGCTACCTTGCAGTTTATGACACACAGACAGAGGGAGGTCTGATGAAGTGAACCAGGCAGCCAGAGCGCTACTCCATCCCCGTGGAAACCAGGAGCCTCTCGGGGCGGCTCTTCTGTGTGACTTTGAGGGGCTCCTGAATGATCTCTGACTGCGCCGCCGGCTGAGACCAGCGGCAGCGGGAGGGAGGGAGGCACCCAGCCGGCTGAGCGTGCCGAGGAAGCCAGCGCCAACCTCGCAGGGCTGGGGCTGGCTCCACTCTCCATGCAGTTTTTGAAGTCAGCCAAACAGAAAGCAAATTACTATCATATTATGCTGGTGGGAGCTCAAGAAGAAGGGACACTACACTGGCTTGAGGACTCCGAGGGTGGCTCACGTGTGGACCCTGAAGACAAATGTAAGTTCTCCTGCGGCTCTATTTTATTGCTGTGTAATTTTCTTTCTGGTTTGAAATCATGCTTGGCCAAAATGCAATCGTTTCAGTGAGAATTTCTAATACGGAAAGTTGTCTGCTAATCTTTACTTAAGATTTCTTTTCTTGTTTTCTCTTTTCTCTTTTTTTACTTTTATTAACTAAGCAACATATTATGAGCTGAAATTCCTGGCAGCAGCTGTGGCAGTTCAGCCAAAGACTGACTGAGAACTGTAACCCAAAGGACATCCAATTACTATGGGATTAACACCCGGTGTATTTTTAATTGACTTTCTTCATGTCGAATGTATACAGCCCCACTGTTTTGGATTGCATGCTTTTTAATATTGCTGTGGCTAAAATAATGTGACCGACAGAATGAGATATAGTTAAACGAGATTGCCAGTAGTTACAAAACTTTTCTTCTCTGGCCAGGACCACGTTTGTCTTCCTGAAAGCTCAAACCTCCGCAACCTCTATGCTAAAAGTTCATTCTGCTTTTTTACCCTTGCTTTGGTGAAACAAATGAGCAGTGGACTCTCCTAAAATCACAAAGGAAGGAAACAGAAAGAGCCAACGCCGTTGTTTAACTCTCATGCTAATAATGGGAGACACGCAGCCAGCCAAAGGAGCCCAGCACACACAGCACCCCGGTATTACAGAGTGTGGGGACGTAAAGGCAAATGGTGAGCAGAGGCTATAACTCCTGAGTCCTTCTACACCTCATCTGCTACAAGTTCCAGCTTACAAAATGGATATGCTTTGTGAAGAAAATACTTCTTTGAGCTTAACTATGAACTCCTTAATGCAATTAAATGATGACACCAGACTCTACAATAATGACTTTAACGCCGGAGAAGCTAACACTTCTGATGCTTTTAACTGGACAGTAGACTCTGAAAATCGAACCAACCTTTCCTGTGAAGGGTGCCTCTCACCACCGTGTTTCTCCTTACTTCATCTCCAGGAAAAAAACTGGTCTGCTTTATTGACAGCTGTAGTGATTATTCTAACCATTGCTGGAAACATACTTGTCATCATGGCAGTGTCCCTAGAGAAAAAGCTGCAGAACGCCACCAACTATTTCCTGATGTCACTTGCCATAGCTGATATGCTGCTGGGTTTCCTTGTCATGCCCGTGTCCATGTTAACCATCCTGTATGGTGAGTGGCATTAGCTTCCCAGCTGTACCCACACTGGTAATAGAAATGTGCATGCCATCGGCAGACGAGTTGGGGTTCAGGGGACAAACTGTAAGTAGAAGTCTTTGTTTACAGGCTGGAGTCTTTTGTGGTACGCTGGTTACTTAAATTCTACTCTTTAAAATGGGATTTCACATCCAAAAAACCAGACAACCTATTACCTGTGATCATTGGAGAGTTTGTGTTTTTAAAACATATACATTTCTTATGTATGACATGGTTTTAAAGACCCCAATACAGTCATAAACAGTAACTTACCCATTATTCTGAATCCACTTGATTTTTGCTTCTTTATATTCCCAACCAAATATTCCAGCCTTGGGGACAGAACAGTTTTGTCTCTGTCACACAGTTTTCAGCACTTCTAATGGAGTGGTAAAACCTTCCCAATTACCTTGGAACACTTGCAGGGAGAACATTAGTGATTCAGGGTTTAATGTTAAAATATGCAGAGCCTCCATTAGAATAAATGAATTACTCCAGTTTTAATTGTTCCCTGCCCAGAGAAGCTAATTTGGAAATGTGCCTTTGAAGTATATACCCTCAACTCTTTAAAAATGCATAGGCATAAAACTCCTCCAGACCGGTTTGGAGGAGGGTGGGAAACGAACGGGAAGAGATTAATCTTGCTTTCTTCTCAACAGAGTTTGAAACAGTCAAACCTCTCAGCAAGTCAGCAAACACTGGGACGGCTTCGGCGGGGAGCAGAATGTGATATTCTTTCCAAATTATGAGTAATACAGCCAGATTTCTCTTTAAAGGAGAGACTATTGAAACTGCTGACAAAGGCGTATCAGCAGTCACCCAGAGCTTAGCGACAGGTTATGAGCGCTATCTTTAAGAAGAGATTTTCTGTCCGAGTCTTAGAGGGTAAAATTAAAAAAGAAATTAATAAGAGAAGAGAAAAAAATCAACCCAGCCCTTAAGAGTGTGAAGGAGGAAGGCGGGGCGCCGGGGAGAGCGGCCATCCCTTTGTACAGGGTCGATAATGATCAATCCAAGTCCAGCCCTCGCTTGACCATTTCAATGCCACACCGGAATGATTTCATTAAATTCGCCTGTCATTTCGGAGACATCTGGGGAGTTCTCGCTTCCTCAGCCTTCCACCCCGCCCTCGGGGCAAACTCCAGCGCGGGGGTTGGGGGACAGGGGTGACTGAGCAGGAAGGACTGGCCGAGGGCGGGGTGACCCGGCGCCACCCGCTCGGCGTGTACGGGCGCCCCCTGGCGGCGTCCCCGCGCGCAGCCCATTCCCACCCGCGTCCTTCCCGGCGCTGGACTCCGCCTGCTCCAGCGCGCGAGCGCCCAGCCCTCTGCTTGTTCCCGCCGCGGAAACGCACGCTCAGGCCGGGGCTGCCTCCTTGCAGAGAATACCCCTGATCAGTTCTGAACAGGCAGAGTGTGGCTTCCCCTACTCAGTCAATGCTAAAGAAAAAAGCTTTCATTTTCGCTCAAGCTCTTTGCAAATAAGGCTAGTGAAAGGCTCTAAATTAGGCCTGTATCCTGCATCCCTTAGTATCTAAATATCTCTGGTGGCGTTTGGGTGGCGAGTATGTTTGGGCATGGACAGTTTATTCAGCTTTGTGGATCTATAATTTTCCATTTCTCATGCAGGCAGTTCTAACACCACTGCTAATCCTTTTAGCAAAACTAATAAAGGTTTATTTAACCATGTGATTCCTTCCAAAACAAACAAAAACAAGACACTCATGTCCATAAGGCATAGTCTATCTTCCTGATAGACCAAATGACCCGCAGTGCTGCTTTTTTTTTTTTTTTTTTTTTTTTGAGACAGAGCCTCAAGCTGTCCCCCTGAGTAGAGTGCTATGACATCACAGCTCACAGCAACCTCCAACTCCTGGGCTGGAGTGAGTCTACGGCCTCTGCCTCCCAAGTAGTTGGGACTACAGGTGCCTGCCACAACGCCTGGCTGTTTTGGGTTGCAGCCGTCATTGTGGTTTGGCGGGCCCAGGCTGGATTAGAACCTGCCAGCTCAGGTGTATGTGGCTGGTGCCTTAGCCACTTGAGTCACAGGCGCCGAACAGTGCTTCTTAAATTAGAATGGTCTGGCGAGCTTTAAAAACACTTTGAGTTTAGGGGTCTGCCTCCACCCACCCTCCAGAGATGATGACTTCATCGTGCTGCCTGGGCCTGGGCATCAGGACGGGCTCTAAAGCTCTCCAGCTGATTGTAATGTGCAGCCAGGGGTAAAAACCACTACTCTAAACAGAGGTTTTCAAAGCGTGGTCCCTGGCCAGGAGCGGTGGCTCATGCCTGTAATCCTAGCACTCTGGGAGGCTGAGGCAGGTACATCGCCTGAGCTCACAGCTTCGAGACCAGCCTGAGCGAGAAAGAGAACCCGAGTCTCTAAATAACTAGCCAGGTATTGTGGCGGGCACCTGTCGTCCCAACTACTCCAGAGGCTGAGATAAGAGAATCATTTGAGACCAAGAGTTTGGAGGTTGCTGTGAGCTATGACGTGACAGTGCTCTATAGAAGGCAACAAAGTGAGACTCTGCTTCCCCCCCCCCCATTACCTCCCAAAAAATAACAACAACAAAGTGTGGTCCCTGGAACAGTGGCGGCAGCAGCCAGGGGAGTTTGTGGCCTCCCAGCCTAACCATATCAGAACTTCCCGGGCTGAGTGTGTTCAAAGAAGCCTCTGTGAGATTCTGATGCTGACTATCGTTTGAGAACTATCACCTTGAAACAAAGCTCAGAACAAGGACACACTATTCTTCATCATTGTCTTCACTTTTTCCCCACACACCAAATCTGAGTTAACCCCCAAAACGTTATTATTTTTTCATTTTTACATTGAGAAATGAAGACATATTCTCAATCTGTATTTTTAATCACTTCATCATTCACATCCAGTACCATCAATTGCTATCATTATGTGGGACTAGATGGTTATAATAACAACTAAGAGATGGGACTAACCTTAGGGACCTATAATCTGAAGATAGATATGTGAATAAATCATACCAGTACAGCATGACAGGTGTTCCAATGGACAAGCCCAAACACATTGTAACTTTTGGCATAAATCATTTTTTAAGAAGGTTTTGCTGGGTAGTAGCAGGAAAGAGAAAATGCATAAGGAGAGACAATCCAAGTCCACCCCACCAGACCGATGTAATTCCAGACACCAGAAATGTTCAAACCTGTGTTCATCAGCCCGTGTGATCTTAAAAGTATCTTGTGTCATCTGAGTCTGTCCCAGAGATAGAAACTGTTGTCATGGGCTATAGTCCACAAGGCCGCTTACTGACGCCAAACTTGTGCATTGTAGGGTACCGGTGGCCTCTGCCCAGCAAGCTCTGCGCAGTCTGGATTTACCTGGATGTGCTCTTCTCCACCGCCTCCATCATGCACCTGTGTGCCATCTCCCTCGACCGCTACGTCGCCATCCAGAATCCCATCCACCACAGCCGCTTCAACTCCAGAACTAAGGCGTTTCTGAAAATAATTGCTGTTTGGACCATATCAGTAGGTAAGTGGGAACATATTTGAAATGACAGTTCCTTGTTCCTAAAAACAACTCGTTCGGTTTTGTTGCGCTGAAACCTGACATCCTAAATCTCTTGTTTTGTGCAGTGCAAGATATGTTGCAACACAGTAATTATCAGATTCACATCAGGAAAGAAAAATCTATTTATGTCACTGGCTGACAACATAAATGTGTATTGCTTTGTACAGGTAAGAATATAAACACCAGAGGAGGCAAAATCAGGAATAACGGTGCTGTTTTCTCCATTTCTCAATTTCAAGTTCACCATTCTAAATCTTGGGTTTCCCAGAGACCTCGACTTTTATAATCACTGGACTTGCGGCCAATATGAGGACACAGACCATTGTACTAGAGAACAAAAAGCTTCTGGGGTTTAGAGAAATGGACCAGGTGCCATAACTCAGAGGGAGAAGGCGAAGACAGAAAAAAGTGCCGAACTCGCTTGTGGACAAGGCTTTTCATTCTGCCTGTGCCTCTAAGGCCCTCTCTCCTGCTCTGCCTCCACACACCAAAGGATTTCAGCCCCTTCCATTAGGTGATGACACACATTTATCTCTCACCAGTATTGATCTTCTGTCACATGCCTAACAGTCAGGAAAGCCCAGGTAATTGAAGCTATAAGGGCGGCTCCCAGGCAGAGAAGTCAATTGTACCTGTCAGCCTCAGCAGCGTGGTTGGCAACCAGAGATTTCCTGAGATTTCTTGTAAAATCTCAAAGCTTTTCATGAAGTGTTGTACCTGCTTGTGGCCACATAGGTGCCAACATTTACTAACATGAGAGACTATGAGATTTGATTCAATGGCAGTTGGAAATCAACGATTTGGGCAAGCCTACCCTACTACTATTAGGGTGAAAGCCTATAATAAATTTATAAACTATAAACGGTAATAAAAACATCAATTAATAATGGCAGACACAATAATATAGCATGTCTTTTAGTTCCTGTTGTTTCTTTTGCTGCTAACAATGGTAACTCACATGCAATTTGCAAAATAGGTAGCTCCACTTTATAGGTGAGGAAACTGGGATTCAAAAATTAAAATGAGCTGTATAAAGCCCTGTAGCCAGTGAGTGACACAGTGAAACTGAGAAATGGGGAAAACAGCACTGTTATTCCTGATTTTGCCTCTACTGGTGTTTATATTCTTACCTGTACAAAGCAATACACATTTATGTTGTCAGCCAGTGACATAAATAGATTTTTCACAGTGAGTGAGGATTTTGTTTGGATTCTGATAGGAACACTAACAAATTACACTTGTGTCATTTTCAAATGTTCGGTAAGTCTTACCAAATTTCCATTTTAAACGTCACGTTACAGTTTGAAGAGAAGATTCTGTTGTGCTTATTTAATAAGTTAGGGAACCAGGGTATAGAAACTTTGGGTCACATGTCCCACTTGCAGCAGGGTGAGGACTCTAAAATTCGAGGACCAACCCGTGCTCTTTCTGCACCTTTCTTAGGAAAGTTTGTGCTCCAAGAAAATTCATAGGTTTCTGAGACTGTGCAACTTGGACTCATTCTCCTAGGATTAAAAGAGTGAAGAACCGGTAACCAAGCAATACCAGCTGCACAAAAAAACTCCTCTGGTGTGCACTCTGATTTAATGGGTCCAGGGTGGGGAACAGTGAGGTTTAAGGACCACAGAGACAGGTTTTCAGAGTGGAAGGTGAGATGAGCCCAAAAGGGTCAAGAATAATGCAAATGAGGAGAGCAAAGCTATTGGCAAATGTATTCCGGTTGTAACCCCCATACACTATCCCATTGGTGAGACAGACTCCGTACTCTCAGCCACACTGACTCCAGCAGTCACAGTCACAGTTCTTCATAGCAGCAGCAGTGAGAACCAGCAGTTTCTGAACACCGGCTGCAGACCCACTAATGGGCAATGCACCTTACAGAACATCAGCTACAGAGAAGTTGCACGAGTTAACATTGCTCCTAGCCATATTTTTGCCAATATGAGCCAACTGCACTCCAAAGTCCATCCTCTCTCTATTCCCCCAAAGACAATCTGCCTTGTTCTCTTTCTGGCTATCAGCATAGAAGAAATCCAAGCTGGGATAGTTGTAGACCTGCTGGACAGGACTTATCTGTCATCCGTTTGACTAACAAGCTTCTAATGCATTACCTACTGTATACTTGGCACTGGATATACTAAGATGAATAAGGTATGCATTCCAGGATTTCTCACAGAGGTAGGAGAAGGCAGATAAGAACACATATCAGAAGAACAAGTTACGTAAGTCCTACAAGATTGGACAATTAAGTTCACAAACTCATCCCAGAAAAAATGCTATGTACCTTATTGCTGAATAGCAGTACAGTCACCTTCAAAGTATTCCCCTTGACCATCTGGTGACTGCAGTGACATTCAGCAGCAATGAGGTATGTAGCACTGTTCTAGGATGAGTTCACAGACTTGATCGTCCAACTAGATGCCTTTGAGGTATGTGCCCCAAGGAGGAAGCAGGTAGGAAGTATAAAAAAGACAAAGTCAGTTCTAATGAAGAACTGACAGGCTCAAGACAAACATTCGGAATTTTCTTCTAGAGTTTGTTTCTATTATTGTGTTTGTTGCTTTGAGTTTAGTTTTTGCTTGTTTTGCCTTTCATGGTGTTTTTTTTTTTTAATTTAGATTCTTAGTCTAACTGGAATTTGTTTTTTTATATGTTCTAGCATGTTTTCTTCTACTCAAGAATAAAGTCTTTTAAGAGCTATTGCTATAGTTTTTGCTCTTAAGATATATTAAGTTTTCTGAATCAGTTTCCAAATATTAAACTGCCCTGACATTCCTCAAATATCAAATTTGGGTGACAAAGCAAGTTTATTATTCTTATAAGATTTCTTTTTCTAGCATCATTAAATGATTTTGAGGGGTTCTATTATTTCCGTCAGGTTTGAACTCTTTGAGTAGGAATTATATATTTCTGAGAGGTTTACAGAACTTAGTCTTAAATCTCTCTCATCTTGGCTCCTTTTTAAATGCATTTTAAACTTCACTTCTTACCTCTTCAGTCGTTACTCAGTTTCCATTTTCTAGAGATTTTTGGATTATCAGCTGCGTACAAACTTTATATTTTAGGTTGATTTATTTATCATCATTGAACGTCACATTTTATTATCTAGTCATGATTCTTAAAGTCTACTTCATCTGATATTAGTAGGCACTTCCAGTTTTCTTTTGATTATTGTTTTTTTGGAGATGTCTTTTTCCATCCTACTACTTTCAAGGTTTTTGCGATTTTATATTTCGAGTGTGTTGCCTAGAAGCAGCGTATAAAATTTTGTTTTTATCTAGTCAATCTTTGCCTTGTAATTAGAGTAGTCCTTGTACGGAGAATGTAACCGGTGTATTTGGGTGTACGTCTGTTCTCTGACAATTTGCTTTCTGTTGTCCCATGTGTTCTACGTCCCAGGTTCTTGCCATCTCTGCCTTCTTTGGGACTCTGCCTTGATTATTAACTCATCTTTCCCTTTATAAGCCTTTTAACTATCTGTTCTTTTACGTTATTTTAGTGATTCCAATGTTTTTTACCCTCATACAGTGTAAAGCAATTGATTACTTATAACTCTTCTTAGATCATGCAGAAGCTTTAGAACAGTTTTACTTTGTTGGCCCCTGTCATCTTTTGTGGGATTTTTTTCTATCCTCTATGTATCTTTTTAAAATTCACAAGACATCACAGTAGCTATTCTGTTCCTTCAGGATGTATTCCCCACATAGTAACCCTGTCTGTTGATGTTATTACTTTCTTCATTTCCATGATTTTTGTCTGGTTTCATAATCCTTATTCTTGAGAATTCCCTTTGGAATATACATTTCCTGTAATAAATGTATAAATATTGGGCTTCCAAATTTTCTCTTTGTCTCTGTATTTGAGCAGTGTTACTATGACGTGCTTAGGTGTGGGTTAGTTTTGTTTTTGTCCTGCAGGGATGTGTATTGAATCATAACCTTGAATCTTGACTCAACATCTTTTGTCACTCTAACAAAACTCGAGGTCATTATCTTTCCTTTTTTAAAAAATCTGGGTTTTATTTAATTTTTATTAAATCATAACTGTATACATTTATGGGGTACAATGAGATGATTTGATATACAATGTGGACGGCTCAAATCAAACTGACTAACATAACCGTCACCTCCCTGACTTATTTTTTCTGGTAAGACATTTATAATATACTCTTAGTTGTTTTGAAATATACCCTTGCATGATGCATATTAGGTGAGGTCCTACCAAATGCCCTCCCTCCACTCGTCCTCCTCCCTCCCCTCCCATCTTCCTTCTCCCTCCTCCTTCTTTCTGGACTAGATTTGTGTTTTATCATTCATATGAATGTGTAGGTGATTACATATTGGTTTCATATTTGAGTACACTGGACACTTTTTTTCCATTCTTGACATACTTTAGTAAGAAGAATATGTTTCAGCTCCATCCAGGTAAACATAAAAGATACAGTGTCTCCATATTTTTATGGCTGCATAGTATTCCATGGTATACATATGCCACAATTTGTTAACCCATTCACAGGTTGATGGGCATTTGGGCTGCTTCCACCACTTGCCTGTTATGAATTGGGCTGCAATAAACATTCTGGTGCAAATGTCTTTGTTGTAAAATGATTTTTGTTCATCTGGGTATATACCTAGTAATGGAATTACAAAATAAAACGGTAGGTCAACATTTAGTTCCTTGAGAATTCTTTAACTTCTTTCCAAAAAGGCTGTATCAGTTTGCAATCCCAGCAGCAGTACAGAAGTGTTCCCTTCTCGCCACATCCACACCAACATCTGCAGTTTTGAGATTTTGTGATGTGGGCTAATCTTACCAGAGTTAGGTGATTATCTCAAATTGGTTTTGATTTGCCTTTCTCTGATGATTAAAGATGATGAGCATTTTCTCATATTTTGTTGGCTATTCACCTGTCATATTCAGAGAAGTCTCTTGCCCACAAAGAAATGGGGTTGTTCTTTTCT